CCGGCCATTTTTTGGTTGCAGCCATCATTGTTGTTTGGCGGGCCCAGGCTGGGGATTTGAACCCGCCACCTTAGGTGTACGTGGCTGGCGCCTTAGGTGTATGTGGCTGGCGCCTTAGCCGCTTGAGCCACAGGCGCCGAGCCCAGAATCCTTCTTAAGTGAAAAAAACAAAACAAAGGAGGCAGGGAGTTAGAAATGTTAGAAAGCACCTGTATAGTACGTCATGGACACCAAGGCCAGGAAGAAAATCAGGCTGCTCCAGGGACCAAGAGGCCAGTCCCTTCTCGTGGGGACCCTGTGGCTCCCACCTTTGCTTCTCTTTGTAACCTGCTTCACTTCTCTGTCTCTGCACCCTGGCTTTCTCTGCTTTGTTGTGCCTGTGCTACAAAGCAGTTACCCTAACCTGCCCACCTTCCTGCTGTGAGAGCTCAGTCTACCTGGTAGCTGCTTTGGACAATTACAGCTGTAGGAATTGAGGCTGGAGAAGGGTCCGGGGAGTCACCATCTCCCTAAGGGTTGTGCCAGCAGGGGGTTGGGTGGGGCAGGCAGATTGAGGGACAGCCACCTACAATGTCTGGTCAGTCATAAAGTGAGTAGTGAGATCATTAAATTGATTTTCCGAAATTACCAAATAGTACTATCCAGTTTGTGTTGAGATCATGTTTTCTACTCTTCTTCACAGTTCTGAAAAACTCGTCTATGCGGAAGAGAAACAAAAAAGTGAAGAGAAAGAGATTACTGACCTGAGTCAGGCGGTTTTTGAAAGGCAGTTCCGTGCCTCAAAGCTCAGCCAGGACAGGGGCGATGGAAAGAAGGGTGTGGTGAGCAGAGGCCTGGGGGCAGGGCCGGGGAGACCCACAGGTTCCCGACTCCAGTGAGCCGCTGCTGCTGTATTCTCTGTGCACATTCTTCCACTGGCTGCAGAGGCCAGAGGGGGCCTGCGGAGAAGGCAGTGAGAAAGCGAGGGCAGGAGAAAGTGAGGCTGCTCTTAGGGGCCTGGGCAGGGAAGCTTCGTGTGAAAAACTCAGAAAAGTACCGATTGTAGGACCTACATGCCCAGGTCTCATAGTCCCCCCACTCCCCACTTTCAGGGGAGATGGTGCCCTGCCAAGGTGAGGGCAGAGCTGGCAGAGGGGCCCATCTGCTGGGATTTCTTCAGCGCTTCTTGAGCTTTTGCCCTTCTGCCACTTAGGTTGTTTCCATATCTTATTGTAACCAAACTAGACCACACATGCTTTTTTCATGTGTTCTTTTCATTAGTTCAGATGGTGTTATTATCTCCCAATATGTCATTTGTTTTTTAAATGAAATTTATACAAAAAATTAAGGCCAAAACGAGAATTTAGAATTGAAAAGATATTTTATATGCAGGAATTTTCCGAGCACAGGTTTCTTATCATCTGGTGGGCACAGCTTACAGCCCGCGGTCTATTTCCCTTCCTTTCTCTCCCACACCCTATCCTAAGGCCTGAGGCTTAGGCCCCTTCCAGGGAAGGCTGTGTGTGGGGGGGGGTGGGTTTGTGGACAGTGGTCTCCTGACCTGACAGGACACAGCGGGTCTCTGCATTTCTCCACTTGCCAGGTCCTCCTGGCCCTCCACCCCGCCCCACGTAGATGATTAGGGGCTCTTTTTCTCTCATGCTTGAAAACCTTGTTAGACATTTTATGATTCAACTGCTGTTCAATCCCATGGTCCTCCTCAGTCTCCAGAGAGAAACCAATTCTCCTAATATGGTAATTTACCGTATGACTCCTCAGCAGTTTGTGCTGAGCTTAATTATATCTGAGAGCGCAGGGAGCTTCTTATTGAGATAATTTTTAAATTTTTTTATTTGAGACAGTATCTCACTTTTTTGTTCTGAGTGCTATGATGTCATAGTTCACAGCAACCTCAAACTCTTGGGCTCTAGTGATCCTCTCACCTCAGCCTCCCAAGTAGCTGGGACTACAGGCACCCGCCACAATGCCCAGCTATTTTTTTTTTTTTAGAGATGAGTTCTTGCTCTAGCTCAGGCTGGTCTCCAACTCCTTTTTTTTTTTTTTTTTTGAGACAGAGCCTTAAGCTGTCCCCCTGGGTAGAGTGCCGCGGCATCACAGCTCACAGCAACCTCCAACTCCCGGGCTCAAGCGAGTCTCCTGCCTCAACCTCCCAAGTAGCTGGGACCACAGGTGCCCACCACAACACCCAGCCATTTTTTGGTTGCAGCCATCATTGTTGTTTGGCAGGCCCGGGCTGGATTCGAACCTACCACCTTAGGTGTATGTGGCTGGCGCTTTAGCCACTTGACCCACAGGCGCCAAGCTGGTCTCCAACTCCTGATCTCAGGCAAGCCACCCGCCTTGGCATCCCAGAGTACTAGGATTATAGGCATGAGCCACCACGCCCAGCCTCATTCAGATATTTTAAAAAATAATCAGAGTATACAGTGTGATGATTTTGGTATAGGTATTACTTGTGAAAGCATTACCACGATCAAGTTAGTTAATATTCTGTGTTCTTACATAGTTACTGTTGGTGTGTGGAAGAGAATACTTAAGATCTACTCTCTTAGCAAATTTGAAGTGTGCAATCCAGTAGTATTAACTATAGTCAGCATGTGGTACATTAGGGTCTCTAGAACTTACTGTAACAAAGTTTGTACCCTTTGACCAACATCTCCCCACGTCCCTGCCCCAGAGGGTAACCACCCTTCTCTCTGTTTCTTTGAGGTCAGCTTTGGATTCCACATGTAAGTGGCATCTTTCTGTGCCTGGCTTATTTCACTGAGCACAATGCCCTCCAAGTTCCTCCATGTTGTTCCTAATGGCAGGATTTCCTTCTTTCTGAGGGCTCTTTAATATTCCATTGTATATATACCATATACATTTTCTTTACCCACTCATGTCAGTAGACACTTAGGTTGTTTCCTTATCTTAGCGAATGTGAATAATGCTGCAGTGAATATGGGGAGTGCAGATACCTATTCGAGATAGTGATTTTTTTCCTTTGAATATATATACCCAAAAATAGGATTGCTGGATCATATGGTAGTTCAAAACTTTTTGAGATACTTCCATATTGTTTTCCGTAATGGCTGCTAATTTACATTCCACTAACAGGGGCGGTGCCTATGGCTAAGTGGGTAGGGCGCTGGCCCTATATAATGAGGGTGGAAGTTTCAAACCCGGCCCTGGCCAAACTGCAACAAAAAATAGCTGGGCATTGTGGCGGGTGCCTGTAGTCCCAGCTACTTGGGAGGCTGAAGCAGGAGAATCACCTAAGCCTAGGAGTTGGAGGTTGCTGTGAGCTGTGACTCCATAGCACTCTACCAAGGGCAGTAAAGTGAGACTCTGTTTCTAAAACAAACAAACAAACAAACAAAAAAACATTCCACTAACAGTGTATGAGAGTTCCCTCATCCCCTTATCTTCACCATTGCTTGCTATTAGTTGACTTTTTTTGAACTGGGGTCTTGTTCTCTTGCCCTGGTTAGAGTAGCATCATCAGAGCCTGCCACATCCTCTACTTCCTGGACTCAAGTGATCCCCCTGCCTCAGCTTCCCAAGTATATGGGACCACAGATATTTGCCACCATGCCCAGCTAGTTAAAAAAAAAATGTTTTTTATAGAGACAGGCTCTTGCTGTGTTGCTCAGGCTGTTCTGGAACTCCTGGCCTCAAGTGATCCTCCCCTCCTTGGCCTCCCAAAGTGTTGGGACTATAGGTGTGAGCCACCACGCCTGGCTTTTCTGATAATTGCCAATCTAACAGGTGTGAGGCAATATCCCATTTTGGTTTTGATTTCATCTCCCTGATGATTATTGATGCTGAGCATTTTTCATATACATGTTGACCATTTGTATGTTTTCTTTGGAAAAATATCTATTAAGGCTCTTTTCCCATTTTCAAATTAGGTTATTAGTTTTTTTGCTATTGAGTTGTGTGAGTTCCTTACGAATTTTGGATATTAACCCCCTATTGTATATATGGTTTGGAAGGATCTTCTCCCATTCTGTAGGATGCCTCTTCATTTTCTTTCCCTTGCTGTGCAGAAGTTTTTTAGTTTGATAAAGTCCCACTTGTTTATGTCAGATCTTAACGTGACCAGAGTCACCTGGATCCTTAGGGTGGGGTAGGTGAGCTGCTGTCACTAATAGGTCCAAAAAGCAGGGAGTGGTTTAAACAGCAGCAGCTGCTTTGGCTCATGGCCTTGTGCCAGGTGGGTCCGGGCATCAGCAGGCTGACCTTTGTCCATGCAGTCTCTTGGGACCCTGATGGACCTTTGTTATCTTCAGTGCCTGGTTCCCTAGGCTGCTCCATGGAACTCCCTGAAAAGGGAAGAGACCACAGGTGATTTCTGCCCAGGGTGGAGGGTGTCTGTGGGCCAGGCCTGCATGTGGCATATGGCACGTCCTCTGAAGGACCCAGTCACATGTCTGTCCTTAACTAAGGGGTGCTGGGGGAAGTATTCTCTGGCTGGTCTGAACATGATGGCAAGGGGGCATTATGTGGACAGCCAGTCTGCACACCATAACCAGGTTAGTCCTATGTGGAGTTCAGGGATATGCACAGCCTCTGAGGGCTGACCAAAGCAGACAGAGAGAGGTGAGCCAGGAGGGTAGGCTGAGACCCTGCCTGAAAGGGGTGTCTCTGCCTGGCAGGAGGCCGGGTGTGGGTGATGGCAGCAGGGTCCTCCCTGGTTCTGTAAGCCCTTCAGCCCTTCTCTTCTGTCAATAGGTTTTAGGAACCAGACGGCAGAGACCCCGGTCCTGGGTGGCTGGAGACAGCCAGCAGAGAAAGGGGCTCCAGCCTATGCAAAGAAGAGCGATGACAGCAGAGGTCCTGGGGAGCCACCTGGCCTCCCTGCACAGGATGGCTAAGCAAGACTGCTGTTGGTGATAAAATTTGGTTGATTTGAATTTGTAGTGTTTGTACAACACTTGGAAATATGTTTTCTCTCCTCAGAAGTAGAAATAAATAGTTGTACCAATAGTACAAGTAGTACCAATAGTTACTATTTATTGCATTCCTGCTGGGAACCAGGAAATGTGAGTGAACGATTTTGTATTCATTGAAAAGCTTTAATAGCAAGATAGTATTATCTCCCAATACTGGTGCTCAGAGAATCTGTGCAACTGGTTCAAGGGCAGTGTTCTGTCTCAGGTTGGTCCCTCAGGTGGCAAAGTTTGGGTCTCTTCTCAGAGGGTGTTGTCTCCCCTCCCATCCCCCCTGCACAGCATTCTGTCCCAGAAGAGCAAAGTCCCTGGAAGGACTTGCTGCCCACCCCCTACCCTTGCCCTGACCCAGGGGAGACTTCCCATGCCCAAGGCACTCTGCTCAGTCTTGGAGCGGGGTGCAGAGACTCAGGGCACAGCCCCCTCACTACCCCCCCCAAAATAAGCTCACATTTCAGCCTTAAGAGAGCTTGATTTCTCAAGGGGCAGGTCTGCAGTTCCTAGGTCAGCGGGGATGATCCAAGTTGCTGGGTGTACTGACAATCGATGTCCTCCAAACTTTTCGCAGAAGTTGTTTGACTCTGATCCTGCTGGTTTCTCTGTCCTAAATCTGACCAAAGAACCCGGAGAGATGGAGGGATGGCTCTAGCCACAGTTCACAGTGAGGACTGCAGTCCCCTCAGTTCTGGGAACATGAGGACTATTCTGTGGCTAAGGGTCCCAGTTAGCTCGCAGCTGGTTTTGAACCTGCCTGATTCCTAAGCCAGCAGGCTTCCCCAGCCTAGAGACCCAGCAGTTAGCTCTGCTCAGCGAGGTGGTGTCTGAGCAGCCAAACTTCCCCCTTAAGCAAGCAGTATGTTCAGTTGTTTTGGTTTCATAAATTATTGTCTATTTCTTTTCTTTCTTGGGTGTTTATTTTATTTTTTATTTTATTTTATTTTATTTTTTTTTTGAGACAGAGCCTCAAGCTGTCCCCCTGGGTAGAGTGCCGTGGCATTACAGCTCACAGCA